CTAACCAATTGAGCGCTACCGTGTCATAAGTGTCTATTTAACTATTTAATTTACGTAATGCAATAATGTGCAGTTTTAAAAAACTAAAGGATTAGATATTTTTAATATCTTTGCTTGAAATCTCCATTTTTTTTAAATATAATAAAATACCCACGGCAAACATTTTAATATCATAGTCAAAATACTTTTCAAACTTGGAACGATTTCTCGTTAATTCAGTCCTTACGTACTGAAAGTTATGGTTCAATCGTAAAAAGTCTTATTGCTACTTTCGATTTTTATGCGTTTCTCTTGTGCTCTGTAAATTAATGAACTAGATTTAAGGGTACATTTAGTAGTAAGTATTCGGCAAAAAATCAGCAAATTATCCCATCTGCATTTTGTTTATTAAAAATTGATTATATATTGAAAAAACGACTCGGCCAGGGCCTGCGCCGGTATTTACAACGTCCCATGCTGTTGCTTACTTACATTTTATCATAGGTCTGATAGAGAATATCCAAGAAGAAGAAACTATTGTGAAAAAAATTGACAACGAATAACATTCTGTCAGTTATTCTACAGATAAAATACGACGTCTAAAATTGATAACGTAAAACCGAATTTCATTTGGAAATTCCCAGTTCTATAACAAATATTTGCTTCAGTATTTAGTCTTGGCTAGTGGCTAGAAGACCTTGGTTAGATAAACAGATAACGTCGGTGAGTTCAACGAGAAATTAACGATTGTTTAGAGTTCTATAAATTGCCCCTGCCTTGTTGTACGACCTGGATAGTTTCTTGTTTCACAATAGGACAATTAAACTGTAACAATATCAGATATATTTAAGCATGAAAAAAGTACAACAAAAGTAGATAATATTAAAAATGTTCACAACCTCTGGCTGTCTCAGGAAGTAGTTATTATAAGTAGTAATAATAATATCAAATTCATTGCAATATAATTAACACAGCAACAGAGTTATTTATCTGATTTTTTGTCAGTTCGTAAGACAAACTACGACTTTTTGGAGATTTGAATAACTAATTTAATATAGTACATATTTCGAAAAAATCGTTAAAAACAAACGAATTAAAAATAAATACTAAGTACAAGCATCTAGTGTCTGTCAGGGAAAACTTTAAGATAAATGGTCCCAGTAAAAGAAAAAGTTCCAAACGAAACTTATAAAAATCTCTCTCCATATTGAGTTACCACTGCATTGGGCTGCATCAATTATGATTGGACAAGGCAGATTGACCCACGGCCAACTTTAAACGATATCGACATCTATTCACCTCAACATAAGACCTATATTCATTAAAACAATTCACGAGCGATACAGCATTTATTTCTTACTTCGTAAAGCATATTTTAGTATGGATTTTTTAAATTATGGAAGTGTGTCAAATTCTCTTTATGGTATAAAGGGGCTAACTACAAACTAGTTTTAATTGCAGTGTACTTAATATGTGCAGTTCGCAATTGCCAGAGGTCAGAGGACGTTAAAATCCTTCTTTAAGATTGAAAGACATTAATAAAATACCCAAACATAAAGGTTGTATTCAAACTATGTTAAACTTTCACGACAAATTATTTTATGTTCAGCAAAAAAGTCATATTCGCAACCTATATAGAAGGTAAATAAAATTTATTGCATATTATGCTATTTATATCACAGCACATATGTTTATTCTTATTTAGTATTACTATATTTGCATTTTATGTGTTTGTGCAATAAAGTGTTTGAATATTATTTCTTACGTGGGTACCTAAAACTCGTTTTACTATTTCATAAACAACAAATCAGGCATGGTTTACATTGTTAAGGGTTATAAAGGTCTACAGAAATTAAGCTATTAGATTTAAATAATAGTACATATTATATAGCTTCTAATGTAGACCAAGGCAAGCAAATAGCTTTAACGTACCAAGGAGAAGACACAGAAGCAGTTCACTTGATGGAACATAAAATTACCAAGCCCTGCTCTGTTGAACCAATTTTGGCTTTGGATACTCATAAGTAATAGAAAAATCATTGTGGCAACGGCGAAGCGAACGGTCGTGCATTTTTATTGCTCTCTGCTTACTTATGTTCTTATCGGCGCCCGCGCCGCGATGCTTGGCTTGATTTGTACTATTCTATAATTATTATTATTTCTATATATTCGTTCCAGCCGCTAGATGCGGCAACGCTCGTTTCGAAGCTCCGTGTCCAGATCGTTAGGGCGTATACGCATTAAGCAGTTAGCCAATTATCAAAAATGAGTACCTACAAATAAATTTTGTTTTCCGGGTAAACCGCTTGGTGCGTATGGACCCTTACACTGTCCTTAGTTAAACGCTAAAAAACGAAAAAACAGTAGTCTACCATAAGTTTGATTAAATACTATACAATCTATAGTTTACGCGAGTAGTGCACATTCAAATAAAACACTTTAACAGTTTAAAAAGCAATATATATATACAAACAAAAAATACTTCATTGTCACCACAATGTTACAAAATAAAATTTAATGTAAAACATCCAAAACGTAGCGAGAAAAGGCGGCCTTATCGCAAAAAAAGCTAAGCGGCTCCATCACTATCTATTGAATGAACTTATTTGAAAATTAATTTAACTGCTTCTGACGTTACGGATGCTTTGCAGCAGTACCAGGTCACGGGGAGACTCACCTGTTCGATTACTACGAAGAGCAATTTATACCACTCACGATAGGGTACAGCCAAAATCATTTGCCTATATGTTAAATACGTGACTTGCTACGGCGCCATGTTCCCCATACAATAAACCAGAGTGTACGACGCATTATTAAAACAAGGCCGCAAATATGTACGCTTCTTATTATCCCGAACAAAAGATGAATAATGAATGAAAATATACGAAACAATACAGATAGTACAGGCTATTGTAGGCGATAATAAAAGATAAGCTTCTATACAAAGTTTTATAATATTAAAATACGCTGTACTTTTTATATTCGTCGCGTCTGCTGCTTATAAAAGCCTTGATTAAGAAGTATTTAATAAATTAAATGCATTTTTCATTCATTCAAATTATAATAAGTGATATTCTGTTTTCTCAATGAAATGGAACACTGTCTATTTTATTGTCAATAAAACATTGTGCTCTTCCCGACCGAATCAATTGTTTGTATTCAAATATCGATATTTGTTTTAAAGATACCATCTATTTTTCATACCGCAAAGGGTTGTTCACTCTTGACAATATTTTTTTTGACACATTAGTTTATTTTTTATAGTGTAGCATTAAAAATATATAATGCATACCCTAAAATATTGAGCTTTTATTACTAACACATATTTTTTAATATAAACTTTATTAATTCAATCATTTTTCATGCCGCTTGATGACTGATCTTGATCTGACTGATGATCTTTTTTGTAAAGGTCGTTCATATTTTCGATTAAAGCTTCCCTGAGCTTATAGGCCAGCTCGTTGTATTTAAAAGTTTAATCGATATCTTTTAAATAAATCCTGGATCTTTTTCGTTTTACTTTGGTCTCTACTACAAGTTCTTTTTCGTTTGATTAACTAACCTAGAAAATAACATCCTTTAAGGTTCATGATACGATCAACGAACTTCACCAAATACCGGGCTATGCTTTAATGACGCTTTAATTCTAAGTACCATTTTAAATTTAAATAAAACACTTTTAACGGATTAAAGCGCGGAATTTATTAAATTTATTTACAATTTATTTTAACTACGACCTGATGTGTTTCGCGTTTGAAACCGTTAAAAGTGTTTTATTTAAATGTCTCCTACCCGCGTAATCTACAGACAGACTTCCCATGTTAAATTCCAATAAATCGTTGCTCCAGTGACCACGGCTATTAACAACATCCAAAACGCGGGTTGTAATTAGAAATAAATTTTCTAATATGTTTCGTATTTAAAAGTATTTCAATTGATGACTACTATTCGCGTAAACTATAAGTATTCTTATGATGATTGTATTGTATTTTTATAACATAAACCTTTAAAAGTACAAACGCATTTTAATATAACAATATTGCAAAAATTCTCATTAGTCAGTAATTTTTTAATAAAAATGTTGTAAAAGCATTTCCAGGTATGGTAGGTGTAAATATGTTGTGTAATTCTAAATTATTTATAGCCCACAACTGTGTTACGTTTAATGTTTAATGGAATCGCTCCAGATATATTTTTAGATTTACTAGTAAACTCAGATCATATATTACCAAATGTTTCAGCACCAGGGACTTACAGTACTCGGTTTTTTTCGTGTAATGCCGTTTTCCTCCCATAGGACATGGGGCGGGTTTTTTGTACGTTTCACGGTTTTAATTACATGCAAATAGTATATCATAGTTCTGTGCCATGTCCAACTGAAAGGATCTATCATTTCACCAGGATTCGAATCCAGGACATCTTGCGCTTAACACAATGGCTCGGCAACACAGATAACCATTTAGCTATAGAGATAGTTGATATAACAGCTTTGTTGTAACATTAACCATTTGATTGAATTAAAATAAAAAAACATATTGAATGTAAGAAACTTCATTTGTTTTATTTAGACTGTTCAATGTTTATAATTTTAAAGTTCTGTAGTTACTTTTGTGAAATATAAATATGAAGTGAAAACTAAGAATAAACCAATATATAAAAAAGACCTTTTTTTTCATTTCATCAATGATAGTAAGTATTATAAAACAATTATTAATATAATGTATAACTGCCACAGGTTAAATTGGGTTGTGACAAACGGTAGGGTGAATTTTTTTAAAACAATTCTTGTCCAGTAATTGTCATTAGTCAAATATTAGTTTACGGTTAAGGTCACGAAATATTTTATTATTTAATGAGAGAGGTTCCGGAGTCTTTAAATATTGTTATTTAAAGACTCCGGAATCTCTCTATGTAATTAATAAATGTATTTGTTTTTATGTTCATACATACTTTAATATTTCAGATGTATACACTTACCATTAGTATTCTTAGATGTATAAGGTGATTTGAATAAAACTCACCTGTATATGAAGTAGAACTATAGGAGTCTGCTGACGAAGCTGATAAAGACCTGCTTCTGTATCGCGCTGCCTTCTTCAAAGCCCCAGATTTGACTCTCTGTCCTTCGAATTTTCCAGCATTGCCATCTGTGGTTCCACCTCTCACCTGACCAGGATCTGTCACTGGACTATCACTAGGCACGTTGGCATTAGCCACACTTTCTTTTCGTAGCATATTAGGCTCTCCGTGCCCTTCAGACATATTGATTTTATTTATGCAATATATTTATTATCGACGAGTCAACACGTCCTTTACAAACCGCAAGTGTCCTACAGCTTTGTAAAGTAATATTCAACACAAACCTATATTTAGATTGAGGCTTTATTCATTTGTTATGAAGATTAAGAAATCATTATTAAAAACGGCGAATTGTAGCAACTCGCAGTCTAAGTTTTTATTTATTAGATGCACGTATCTGTGTTGCGATGGTTTAAAATGCGAAAAATTTCCGTCAGATATTCACTCACTGCCTGTAGAAGTTAGAAAACTTTCCTTTAATTTTTAAATTTCAAAAATATAATAATATCTTAAGCTTCGCAAAACCCCATTCGCAAACCAAAAATCCAAATTATATACAAGTAAACTGTCAAATTCGATCCACTTGATTAGTGTTGTACATGTAAATCGGTAATCTAATATATCATCGGTAATCGAATCCGCAATCGTAAATCAGAATAAAATGTAAACCTGGCAATAAATTTTTAAAATATACTTAAATGTAATTAGACTTAAGATCTCTTATTGATAATACATATAATACTTATTTTAAATTAATAAATATTCGGTAGTCACTCATGCATGTAACGTAAGCACAAATGCACATCACTATTAATATGGAAGTGAAATGCTTGACAACCGCTACACGAAAGGGCTAGGAAATAAATAAAACAATTTTGTTTTTATACTCTTAATTTGGTGAGTTCTAATTTATATTAAAAATATTTATTTAGTTACGGTGATGTATTGCGCGTTGAAGACGTTGAAACTTTTTAAGTAATAGTTATTTTGTGTTGAGGGAAAATCCCACAATTTCATCGTCATCTTTTGTTCACCGGCAGTGAAATATTCAAATGTGTAAGGATAGTTATGAATAAAATATGACGGGATACATTTAAAACACTCCAGAAGCTCTAAATTTATCTTTAAACTGAACTCAAAACGTTCATAGGCCTTGACGTTTTCAAAGGTTGTCATTTTTACATCTGCTTGATGCTTGTGTTCGTATTTTGATAAAACAAAGGTAAATAGTTATCAGAAATGGCAAATATTGGTCCGATATCTGTGATAATGAATACGCTTAAATACTTCTACACATTCTTCTCGCGTATCGCGGTTTTTGCGTTGTTAATTCTATAAGATCATAAGTGAGTTTCAGCAATTTTTTTTAAAGAATGCAACCTACTTATTCTCTTGCCCCACATTTTTATTTTTTGTCTCTTCATGTGTATTTAAAATGTAAACAAATAATTGTGTACATAATATTTTTTCATTTTACAATTTCCTTTTTAGGTTTTTCGATTTTACATATATTTAGAATTATTATTACTAATTATGGTAGAGGAGAGACAAATGTTAATGTTAAATTCTATACATTTAGAAATCAAAAATTCACATCAAAAACCTTATTTCATTTAAGGGGGCTACTCATTAAAATAATTGGGAACCTGAGATCAACAACTATTTTTATCAGCATCATGCATCCATATGTGTAAAAATGTGAAGAGGGTTTATTTGAATTAATATTTTTTTAAATAAAATTATAGCTTATAAAGGACATATAGCTTAATTAGTCATAGCTCCATATTATTATTATTTTCTTTTGGGTACTCTGCTAGAAGACTCAATTTCTCCTTTCCATCTCTGTTGCTTGATAGCTTTGTAACTTTTGAAAATAATTATTATCATGCACATCATAAACTAATTAGCCCTTACAAATTTTGAATACAATAAGCAATTACATTTTAATAATAACAATCGCTTTGTTATATTGCTATGAATTTTACATTCTTAATGATTCAAGGATGAAGCCTTGACTTTGTTTGGCAGGATTTCCTAACAAGTAATGTCAGAAAGATTAAAGGTGATTTTAAAAACATATTATATTTTCTCCACATTTCTGAAGTGTAAAATATTTTGATTAGTGCATGGATTTTTGTACTATAATCAAAGTTATATGGATTTATTTGTGGGTTATTATAAGTTTATGATAATAATATATATTAAAAACTTTTCATATAATGCAAAATAATTTTTTACTTAATCATTGGTTTTTTGTCATCACAAAATCATTTGTTATACAGATGTCTTAATGTGAAACCTGCCTAAATTGCATCAATATGTCAAAAAGACACAAGTCTGTCTGTTAAGCACTTATTTACAAGCTATGCCCATACTGTCTGCAACAATTTTACTATGTTCACACACTCTTCAATCAAGTCATTCTTCATTCAAAATTAATACTAGAATCTTCACCTTCCAGATCATAATGTCAAGTGGTCGTGGCCGCGGCTACACTGGAAGACACCACCTACGGGAATCAAGACCAGGAGACATAGAAACTGAAGACATGAATGCTGCCAGGACCCTAGCAGAACTTACACCAAGATCAACAGGTAGTTATTTTGTACTACTTCGATATAAGCTAAGTTGTCAGTGCTTTCTTGTAAAAATTCTTTGTCGTATAATGATTTTATTAAAATATATATCAACAGACCAGAAAACCATAACTTGTTGGTTCTTATTAATCTAAGTAACATTAAATATTTTAACTCTTATATGTCAAAAAAATTTAACTGTTTACTGTGACAGACACATTTTTGCATCTGTCACAAATTTATTCTATTTACATACATAAAAATTTAGGTTCAAAATGAATGTTAATAAATAATCTTATATTCCAGCTAAAAGTTCGGTAGCACTCATTACAGAGCCGAAACTTGAAGTTGAGGTAAAGGAACTGGATGAGCCACCAAGTCCAGACACCACGGGTGATGAAGAAGCACTTCAGGGTCTACTCCGTATTGATGAACAATATGCACCATTGCTGCTATTGGTAAGTTCAGTATTATAAAAATACTAAAAGTTCACTTTTAAAACTTTGTAAGGTTCTTTTCAAATAATGTTGTGTAGTATGTAAGTTGTTATAAAGAAAAATAAATTCAGTGAAACAACAATTTTGTATTAAAAATAATAGTTTGCTCATAAAACAAAACAAGAAACATTTGTTTAAGTTTATCACTATATATATATATATATATATATATATATATATTTAGCAGCGTTACAGCTTGGAAACCCTCTAAGATGATTAATTTTGCCCGTTTTTTCCAAATTCTCCGCTGTTTCTTTGCTCCGATTAGTCACATCGCGATGTAGATCGCCTATAGGCTTCCTCGATAAATGCTCTAACCTACGCAAAAATAATTTTTCAAATCGAACCCATAGTTCCTGAGATTAGCGCGTCCAAACATTCAAATAAACTCTCTTACTTGCTTTATATATTAGTATTGATTCAAAACTTCTCTGATTTGAATGGGAGTCTAACTCAGTACTAGTGCAACACTAATTAGTTTTTATTTATATTATTACTTAATAAATAACAAGACTATTATATTTTCCGTCTTAATAGATCCAATATTCCTTTTACAGCTAGAACAATTTACACCCGGCGAAGACGGTATACAGTTCAATAGAAAATTGCGCCACTTTGAAACTACAGTCACAGAACTTTGCCCTGATGAACCCAGATTGCAGTAAGTATAAAACAACTTTGCTTCAACTTCAATTAAGCACTCAGCTTGCCTATCTATTAGGCAAGACAAATTTAAACTGATATTGAATACTAGTGCCGTGACTACGTTCGCGAGGAATAGTTACTTTGAGCAACACAACAACAATATGAAATTGTATTTAAGTAATTAAAGTTAGTTCAATTTTTTAGAACTGCTTGTTTTCTGATAAGGGACAGACTGATTATCAGCGCTTAGCAAGCCTTGCAAGCAACCTTGAGAAGGTCACTTAGCACAAAGTTAAAATTGTGCTTTCTTTTTCGTTCTTTTAATAGTAAATTACTTCACAACGGATTACTTATTATTATTTTTCTTAAATAGTAAAAATGCATACACGAAATATATAGTAAAAACGAAAATATCAAGCTGTATTCAACCATTTAGAAAATATACCTTGTAGAGCAGTTTTATCTTGCACATCTTGCGGGTTACTTGGCGAAAAGAAGTGGCAATCATCAGATCAATGATTGACATTATTACTTGTTATTATTGGCACTCAACTGTTGTAAAATGAGCTATTTGACTGATTTAAAAAATGTACGAAATGTAAACGTATGGAAAGGTGTATTATGACTTGTGATATATATTTGCTGAAATATATCAAATTAAAAATCAAACATTTAAATTGCGCGCCCAAACGCTAAGTTTGAGAAATAACGGCTAGTGACGTCACGACCTTGGCCATTGGTGTATCTTATGATCTACAATCTACGTGTATTTGTACCAATTTTTCATTTTAACAGAGATTGAAGTGAAAAATGAGTTACAAATGTATTTATATCATATATAAATTTATATATATTAGCGGTTATTGGCACTGTTCATAAGCAAGTGACGTGTCATAAAACCGACCAATCACGATCGTCCTATGTTCGGATCGGGTTTTTGTTAAATCAATTATTATTTTTAACATAGTGGCTGTTTTACTATTTCTAAACTTATACTTAATACAAATAACGCTATATTTTTCGCATTGTCAAATATACTCGTGTCTGTTTTATTATACTTATAATATACCCTTTTCAGGCAAGCGTTTGCAACATTTCGGGCAGCATCCTTACAAAGTTCAGTGACAAGTCGGAAGTTGGCAACGGTCGGTGCCGCGTTTACAAGACAGCAGCGGCAGGGCTTACTGCGTACTACTCTACTTAATATAATGCAAACTACCTTCTCCAGTACGTATGAACAGCTAGTAAAAGACGTTAATATTATTCACATGTGGCACATGATGCCACTAGATTGATGAAAATCTATTTTAGATAGAGCTACTGTGTTTTGTGTGTACACGGTAGCTCAATTTCTCGAGTCCTGCGCGTGTCGTTAAATTTTTTCATCGCTTTTAAATTTAACTAGTAGTAGTAAAAAATCATTTAATACATAATTACGCTCGCACGCATAAAGGATTATCGTGGTGCCTGATTGTTGAAAATCGAGCGGATTCGATTCCCGCTCGGTCACTGATTTTTATCAAACGAGAGTTTTTCCAATATTGCATGGATATTTTTAAATTTAAGAGTAAGTCATTATACGCAGACAAGTTATTTATTCCATGTGAGTCATACAACATTGATTTTACAATCGCGTTTCCCCCAATTGGGGCATGGGTGACCATTTATGTAATCGTTTTACAGGCAAGTATTGAGCGAACTTTTGTGGCCTTGTCCGACCGGAACAATTTATTGTTTCCCCGGGATTCGAAACCAGGACCTCTCCCACTTGACGCAACACTACAGGTGGTCTTCCTTGTATATGTATGTAAAATTTTATTGTTTTGTTACAGAATTGGAAGTTTTGGAGCGAGCTAACCCCTTATATCTTATAAACGCTGCAAATTTGATAGGGGATTATTTTGCAGGTAAGTTTTTTTATTTTTGAAATTCAAACCTACCCTTTATAAAGCATACTATATTTCTAACTATTTTCTTTTTAATTTCCAGAGGCTCGCCTGTGTAATGGTAAAAAGGTCCACCTTTTGGCGGGGCCGTTAGTACAATATATGCGCTCGTTACTTGCTAGTGACGATATTAGAGCTCATAGAAGTCTCGCCACACAAGTACGTATTACTAAACAACAAATAACCTAAGTATCTATTTAGATTGGATCAAATAACCTATTAACAAAAATTTTGCTATACATATATTATTAACAAGCAGTTATATTATATGCCATACCTGACGTCATCGATTCTAATAAAACAACAATTATTGCAATCAATTTTATTAGATAATTCTTTTGTCTACCTAGCTACTAAGATATTATATTTGTATAGAGCGATAATTCTCCATATTATTCATTATTGATTACACATTTTCAGCTAATGCAAAATGGGCGCGAACTACTGTCGATCCTTTCTCAAGAACTGGATGACCTATCCATATCTATCAGACTCAGGCTCCTCACTCCTCCTCCCATCAGTATCATTTGGCTTTTGCTATCAGCAGATCTCTGCTTGAACAAATTCCTACCGCTCCCAAACACATTGCAACAATTTTACGCCGCCCACCTTGACCTAACGAGCGATGAGAACTTCTGCGAGGTCTCCTATGGCTCTTGGAAGAAATCTGATAAGGATGTCACAGAGAAAATACCGCCAAACCTCGCTAATCTTAGTCTGACACAAGACGATGACGCGAAACCCAAGCTTAGACCAATTTTGGGCGCTGGCGCTGGACTCCTAAGGCAGGAACAACAGGACTTTGACACTTGGAGCACCAAAACACCACTCACAAAACGATATGATCTGAATTCCTGGAGGCAAGAGGAAAAGGAGGAGCCACAGTTCAATCCTAACGTCCCACCGCCAAATTTCCACCAAGAATATCCATTTTACCCAGAAAATTATTACCTACAACAAGGAGATGGTACCTACATACAAAACATGAACTCAACCGTGATACAAACGGAAAAAGTGAACAATGAAGTCCAGAAGTGCCAGAATGACTACAGACCTGATGATGATAAATTTAAAGGTGATGATGATGGACTGAAGTACAGAGATGACGATAATAAATTCAGACAAAGTGATGACAAGAAATATAAGCAAACAGATGATGAAAAATTTAGACCGAAGGATGAGGAACGTTCCGCTTCACGGAACGGATCGAGACAGCGATTGAATCGCAGGAACAGTAACGAGATTTCGGAGACCGCCAAAAATAATAGACGGCACGTTAGTGATGTGCCACGAAACCATAAATATTGGGATCACGACGATAGGTGTGATAAAGATTATAACAGTTAGTGGCAGTGGTGTGCGAAACGATAACCCTGACGGTAGTTTTGTAAATTCCAGTGACATTCGGATTTTAAATTTTAGTGTACCCTCTTCAGAATCTACCATGTGCTGTTGTGTCTATGGTTTCTTTATTAATGTCTCTAGATTACAGGTAAGCTATGAAATCAATATGTTTATATAAAACTACGATAAGAGTTAAAGCAACATGTAATAAATTAACAGTTTGCTTTTGTATAAATTATGGTTAGACGATTAAATAAGAAATAAGCTTTTTAAATTTATCGAATGACAGGACAAATTAAGCTCAGTATAGTAAGATTTTTGCTCAGTGTTTCAACTAACATAATAACAATCAAATTAACTTTTGATAGACATTATTGTTTGATTAACCTGATACTTTTAGTACCAAAATCATGTCCCATTACCCACTGGCGTCGAACTTAACTCCTATAATAAGAAAACCTCCTATAATATAGATTGTCAAACGGTGCGTAATTGTAATGTTTCATAGTACATATATTTTTAATTTTCCTTTTAGTAACAAAATAGGCTAGTTTTCTTCATTTGAGATTTCGTTAAACATGATCTCGAAGATTCGGTTGTTGGTATTCTTGCAAGTAGTGTTTAAGTGGCTTGAAATCATAATAAAATTTAGACCATATTAGGTAACTTACAAAGGAAAATTACAGGACGCGGATTTTGGATATCTCAATATGTAATTTAAAAATCGAAAATAAATTGAAATATAATAATATATAGGGTCTTCATGTGCAATAACATGTAAAAAATAATAAAGTTTTCAAATATCTCAATATGCTCATAGCTAAGGATTATGACAGCTTGACCTTATATGTTTTTGTATATGACTGAGATGGAATTTTGACGACTCTTCCAAATATATATAATACCAGTTAAATATTCTCTATAAAATTATAAAAATCATATAGATTCATCAAAAAATAAATAATTTGTTTGTCTGTCCATTTGTTGTGATTCTTCATTTCTCAGTGTTCAAAAGAGCAACAAAACCAAGAAGAACACCCAAGAAACTCAGTCTGGCTTTTTACAACATGTCTTATAAACATAGCAACTCATATCACTGCCAGCCAGCCTTGTTAAGGAAATCTTTTTAAATCTCAATATCAAAGACAATCACAATGAGATACCAAAATCCGTGTCCACAATAAAGTGTTTGACTTTTGCCACACTAGTATAATGTTACTATAAGTCACAAAGATGACGTTTTACCATAATCTAAACTGGGTTTAAGTAACAATATCAAAGTTGTATATTTGGTTCAATCTTCGAACATTTTTATACTTCATTATTTTTCAATTGTGGCAGTTAGCAGATTTTGAACCATCTCGGTGATTTTTTCTAACTATAGCATTATCAAAACCTTAATAAGGAAATAATGTTTATTCTAAAACTGGACTTTAAATTTAAATTAAAACAAAATGTTTGTGCGTTGAATAAAAGGTTAATTAATTAAAGAATCAATATTTTAAAGTTCTAAGGCAGGACACCATCACACAGTGTCTTGGCAAGTCAGATTTACTTTACAAATATTTTAATTAGTATTAAAATAATAATTGTACAGGTATAATTGGAATTAGGAATTTTTTAGAATCACAATCAACTCGAATAAATTTTGTATATTTATTTTATAACTGTGGTAATGGAATTCAAAAATTATGGTTTGGTAAAATAGATGTTAGATTTAAACTGTACACCTAAATAGACTGATACGAACATGGATGTACCTGTATAGATGGATTCAGCACAATTTCATACACACATTTTATGACTCGCTAGTTTATAATGTAGCTTAATGGTATTTCATTGTGCAATTCTGGTGCAAATTAGAATCTTAAGTAGAATCATAGATTGGTACTACTTGATTTTTATTGAATAAACTACACTCTAGCAAAAAATATTAATATGATAGTACAATTTTAAATCTGGAGATATGTTGTAATCTATAGACTTACGTCGTTTGAAATAATGTTTGGTCAATTTGTGTCATAACAATGATATAGAAATATTTTTTACTGGATTTGACATACCAACCATGACACAAAGATTTATTATAAATAAAAATTGCATATATTTGTCCTTTATATCTAATATGCATCAGAATTGAATTGCTTTGAACAGATAGGTATAATTAGGTTTTACAATAGAGAAAATAGTATATTAAATCAATCTAAGGTTTATATCTAATTAAGCAAGATAGATGGCGCATTAATTCATTTTGCTGTGTAAATTGTGCCTTGTGTGATGAATTGGTGATCCGTACATTAAAATTGTATGCGTGTGCACAATTTCATCCATTCCATTTCGCTTATCACTGGTAACACTTAATTATAATAGTAAGGTCCCGCCTATTTTCTAAATTGAAATAATGTACGCAGCATAAAGTATTTTGCTAATTAAAACTGAAAAAAAATGTAAATTAAATCCATTGGTTAGCATAATTTAATATATGCCTTATCTATTAATATTAATGGCGTTAAAGTAGTTATTTCATATTTATATTGTTTAATAGCACTAATGTAAGTCAAATTTGGTTATATTATATGCACATTAAACAAGATAATTAGATATTTTGGCAATCGTCAACGACAAATTTAAGCATGTAAAAGTAATTAAATAAATAATTATTATATATTTTTCAGAAAGTCTTCCCGTGTCAATAAAATATATGAAATAGCTACACAAAATGTCACTATAATATTTAAATATTCATAGGTCGATCGCTCAGATATTGTTGGGGATTTGTTTGACAAAAAAAATAAAATTAAATTAGCTTGTGAAGAAGCTAAATGTCTATAAACCAGCATAATTTTGTGATGTTTCGTTACACAACTCTTATTCCCACGCTGATGTATCAAATATACGCAAGCAACGGGGAATAAGTTAATAATTTTTAATTTGGGTACACATAGAAGTCTATGGTCCATTTAGTTTTGTTAATATTTAACAATGAATATGTTCTGAAATTATGTATGTCAATAAAAGAATTTTAATTTCGTATATCGTTTTATTTATCTTAGCCGAGGTTTGAACAAATTCTATAGTCTGGGTCATTTGTTATTTATATATTATTTATCTAAGAAGTCCAAGGAATTAATGATTCATTTGGCCAGTAAGCAAATCCATCATAACTCAGTCATAATATTACCATAGTTATGTACCTACAGTTCTCTACAAACTTTCTGGCAGGGCTGAAGTAAGAAGTTAGCGCGACCGCCATCTTGCGCTTGGTACTGTCAATTTTAAGCTAAAAGTCGAGTCCCCCCCGTACCCCGTTTGTCGCAACTGATATCTGCTTTATGCGTTCTGCGCAACAATCCGCGCTAACTTCAGCCCGACCAAAAAGTTTGGAGAGCACTTTCACTATTACAGTTAAATGTTATCTCTGTTTCATAGTTCAAACATTACATAAAGAATTTTGAATTATCTGTACTCGTGTCTTAAGATAAATCCTATATATTATAATTTTCATCTTTTCTTGAACACTGGCTGGATTTATAATAACATTATATTAATGCATTATTTGAGATCATTATCACAAATCGTTTAACTTATAATCTATAAAGCGTTCGTGTAACAGTCGTGTAATTAAATTAAGTACTCTTTTTATAGTTATAAGTATATTATGTAAAGTGCATTTGTTAAACTATAAAGCTTAATATATTCTTTGATGAATTAACCAACTTTACAGCCTTAAATACATTGTTAGTAAATAAAATATACATATAATTAATTTGAGAAATCCATATGCTTAAAAGAATTATTTAACCGTAAGGAAGATAATGCTAATGTATGTTCCTTACTTCCAAGTCGATTGAAGACTTATTACAATCCGCTTAAAGATTATTTAGATTGTATCTATTGCAAAATACAAGTTGGATGGAATAACAATACATTAAGAACAGCCGAAGTACTGGCGGCCACTTCCAGTTGAGTTTGTTTCTCTGGTGGCGGTTCCGTTTCACTTGCGCTCGATACGGATGTTATGGTTTCTGAATCAGCGTCTATAAGTAAATCGGCTGATGTGTTATCACCTGGATTGTAAGGAACGAACACCTAGAAGTTAAAGCAAAGGTCAAATTACCTAAGAATATATATAAACCCTGAACCCATAACATTATTACAAGAATTCTAAAAAAGTTAAGTAGAAAGTCGTACAGTTCAGTTGGTACCAAACTAAAATAATATTCACCTCATCATCAGAATCACCATCGGCCATGGCTTGTGCTTCAACATCGTCCACCGTATAGGCATAAGCATAATCATCTTCGGAATAATTGTAGTCTTCTGTTTCACTCTCATATTCGAAATAGCTGCTCTGTAAGAAAAAAATATTACGAAAATTATTTTTTGTTATATAAGCTGTGAAAGTGATTCGTGATGTGGCACGTGGCGTAAAACGGAATGTAAAAGTAAATTGATACATTTGACAGTTTACACAACTGTCAAATGTTATGACAGGTGACATGGACGTCAAAGTCAAATATGGACGATTCAAAACTAAATTATTAGCAAAATTACAATTAATTAATGAAATACATCATTATTTTCTACTAAACAAAGAAAACATATATGAATGTACGTAATTAGTGTTTATCCAATGTCCGTGATATGATTAATTGACGCAGTTCAGTAATCCTTAAAACAGTATTTGTGCCTTTGTGTTTTTATTTAAACAAGTTTGTAATAATGGCCTCAGCGATCGCAAATGATTCACCCAAATATCGAAATAGTTTAATATGCTGCAGTCCTCGTACAGTTGTGGAGTCTTTATCATCGTCCTCGACATCAGGCTGCGTATCAGCAGACGAAAGCACTGACTCCAACTACATTCCAAAGTCGATAGCGAATAAAAAACTCAAGATACACAGTGCAGCAACGCGTGAGGAAATTGAGAAAGCGATAAACCAGTGCAAGGAACTTGTTTTAAACAGTCCGCAGTGTTCTGACGAAAGGAAATGGTTAGTTAGATACCTGGTTGAACTGAGACTAAGGTTAGAGGACTTAAAAGACAGTGATGGCCAATTAAGAAGTAAAATAACAATAAAAGGGCATCATTTTGAGCAACAAACAAACACAGGTAACAGAAAACAATACTGTGACCATTGCAGCGGAGTTATATGGAGTATAGTACAGAGCTCTTACATTTGTACTGATTGCAATTATGTGTGCCATTATAAATGCGTCGACGACGTGTGTAGGATATGCGCGCACGTTGTTATGACTGAGAAGGGCCAATTTGAAATGAACATTTGCCCTGAGAAAGGTTTAGCTGCTCAAGACTATAAGTGTGCTGAATGTCAAACGACTTTAACATTTAAGGACTCATGGAATGAGCCAAGGTTATGTGACTACACTGGGATGTACTTTTGTACGACGTGTCATTGGAACGATCTATTTGCTATACCAGCTAGAGTTATTCACAATTGGGATTGGGAGAAGAAGAATGTCTCACGATTAGCATTTCAAATGCTTACACTGTCCTGGTCGAGACCCTACATTGATGTAGAGAATGTCAATTCTAAACTTTTCAGCTTTATTGCCGAGTTAGAGTGGGTACACAAGATGCGTAAAGACCTTGAATGGATGAAGAGATATTTATGTGCATGCCCAGAGGGCACAAGTTTGCTATCACCTTTATTTATACAATTGGGAGACGTAAATAAGAAATACAGCATGTCACACTTGCAAGCCATCAATGATGGTAGCTTAGAGACGCAATTGACCGAGTTAACAGAAGTTTGCCGTGCACATATCACAAAATGTGAACTGTGTGCCGGCAAAGGCTATTTGTGTGAGGTCTGTGGAAATAATGAGGTTTTATATCCGTTTGACAGTGGTGCAATAATGTGCGACCGTTGCAACTCTATGTACCACAGAGGCTGCTGGCTTCGTAAAGGCCAGAAGTGTTTGAAATGCGTGAGAATAGACGAGAGGAAGAAGTTACAAGTAAATGATGATGTGGACTCAAATCTTGAATTTGATATTGATAAGTTTGTACAATAGCTTTAAAATAGTTTCTTTTTGTTTTATATCACACATGTGTGGGGAAATCAATATCTATATCACGATTTTAGTTAATAAATAAACCATAAATAATAGATTACTAAAACTAATAAATTGTGTTGCAACACCATAAATTTTTATTTCACACTATTAATACTAATAATGTAATTTTATTATTTTTCATGTGTAGAGTTCTTCCTAGATGCCTAAACAAATTTGTATTCAATTGGTGCTTTTAAATGCTTAAGCGTTATGTTTCAAAGTTGTTATGATAAGAAAAAACTGTACCTAGAAAGGCTCAAACATTAATAAGTAAAGCCATATAAAGTAAATATACTGTAAATATTAACCTCACAGAATGTAAGCTTATTTTTAATATTGTAAATAATGTATGAAATAATGATAACCTTGTTTTTTAATTGTATTTTAAAAGCTTTACATTAAATAGATTTCGTTCTACTACCTTGAATCCTGAATATTAACTTTAAACAAATTGTTATCGACAAGAATTTAAAGGCTTTTGCTGTAAAACGATGCTATGTGATAAATAGATATTTTAAAAGTGAATAGAGTTTTATTTAGTCCAAGGGGCCCATTTGACAAGAAAACGTTTATAAAGATTAGGAAAGTTCAGATGTATTTTTTTTTATTTTCTTTGCACATTACGTACCTATAACGTTTGTAATAATATTTTTATATATTTCTTTAGGTCTAATCCAGGTTAGTAAGAGAGTTTAAACCGCCGCACGGATTGTATGCCCGGCAAATACGTGTTAAAATAGATAAATAAAACAAATACACGAATTTACAAAGATAACGTTCAAAAATTGTATATTTTTCACATGATGGCACCACATAAATTAAAAATCGATTATTAAATTTAAAAAATTACGACACGGGCAGAACTTGAAACCGCATCCACAGCGTTGCGGGCTTTTGTTTTAACCAATTGAGCTATTGTGTCAATTGGTTAGTTTATTGATTGTTCAGTAGAAGATTTAGGATTCTTTTGATTCTGGACCGCTTTTACACTTACCTGACAATCCAGACACCTGCAGGACTCGCGGTAAGTGCAGGCTGTCAGCTGTTGCAGGTAATGGACCTTGTCCACTCGACGTTTGCGTCGAGTTAAAGACGATAAAAAGGACAAAAACGTGCGTCGCGGCTTTCCTTTTTCGTCGCTATTAATACAGTGAGAAATATATTGGATTAAACCTAAAACTTAACCTAACTTAAAATAAAAGCAATAATTTAAAATGAAGCCGCTAAAGGCAGAGCAACCTTATTGCGATTTACTGACTTGAGTTATTTATATTTTTATAGTCTAAAAATGTTAATCTACAAGAGCACATTGACCAAAAATTGTGAACATAATTCTTACACAACTTACTAATTCATTTTCGCATAAATTAATTGCGCATTTTTATTTCCTCCTTTTTTAAAAAGTATGGTTTTTTGTTATTAGGCCACTCTGCCTCTAGCAGCCTCAATTACCCTAAGATAAACTAAAGATTTTTTTAGTTACGAACAAAACTGGTCACGTAGCGCGTAACGTTACAAAACTACTTACTTACTCTCGTATTATAGATAAATCCCGTTTCATCAACACTGATCTACTGTCGATTCAGGGAAGTAACAAGGGCTAAACTATGCTCAATTTAAACTATCAATCGTAGTTCCCCGGGATTCGAACCCGAATCGTAGCGAAGATTGTATTAACATAAAGAAAGAAAATTTTATAATAATTAAAAGTTATTGTATATTGTTATAGAAATACGATGAAGGCATTTTATTTCAGTGCTTTTTCGTTAAGTGTTTCTGAACATAATTTAGCATTATAAGAAATCCGTTCCTTGCTGTGGGGAGAACGCATATCTGTAGGTATTCGTTTTTCTGAAAGACTTTATTGGCAGACAAGTTAATCAGACTCTTGTGCCCGATCGAAACTAAAAAAAGAACTTAAAATAATACGCGAGAAGTACACATTTAAATAGAACACTGACGGTTTTGAACGCGATATATATTAGTTTAACTTATTTGAAAATTATTTTAACTACGGCCCGACCGGAGACCCGAGAGTCTCCCCGTGACCACGGCTGCTGAAAAGCATCCCACCTCGGGCCGTAGTTAAATCGTTTTATTTAAAAGTTAAAGTGTTTTATTTACTATATGTAAATTATTGGAGTTAGGAAGGTGTTACCTGTCTTGATTTCCGTTTAAGACAGCAGGTTGCAAATTGTCACAAAGGAGTGCTTCATTCGACTGACGATTGAACCTTTTCTTAACACCGATATCATTTTCAAAGTTCACTGGACAGAAAGAAAATTATTTTATAGTACACAAACTATCACTAAATTTACAACGTGGCAAAGCATTTGGATTTCATCGCTTAATCGTTATAGAGAGTTGTCATTATATTAAATGGAGAATAGTAGTACCTAGATGTATGTGGGTTTAAAGTAAGCCAACACAATTGTGACCATTAACTCTACGTGATACAGAGTTCCTTATTAAGATTAATTTATACTCTTCTCTCTGAATACATTCTCTTAGAAAACTTTATTACTATTTTTCCCATGTTATTGCACATAATGGCACTATAACACACAATAATTTAAAAATCGAAAATAAATTGAAAATAAATTCTCAACAGCGCAAAAGAGCAAAGCACGGTACGCTGACGATGCCGGTTCAAGTCCTGCCAAGTCGAAAATTCATCGATTTTTTAAATTACTTGCTCTTTGCTTTTCTAAGTAATACCGCGTGTACTTCATATGCGGCATCATTAAAAGAAAAACTATAAATCTTATAGGGCAAACATGAATTAGTGTCACATGTATATATTTTGTTATAATGCAATCTTTAATATTAATTATTTTTTATTTATGTCTTAACAACAGTATTTAATCTTACAACAGTTGGATTTTTTAAAGAAACCTACAGATATATTATTTTTTAGCCACGCGGAGAGCAAAGGAGGTCTTATATTAGAACAAATGAGCTAAGTCTGCTGGGTACACAATTATTACCATTAACCTTACCATTTACATCCGTCTCATAGCACCAGGATGGTTGGTTACAATTAGGGCTGTCACAATCCTGAACTTCCCTATTCCAAAGTTCTTCAACTGATGTATTCTGGTACAGGGTTTCTGTGGATGTATTTCCGCTTTCCGGATCATAGGTTTCCGGTTGGTCTAAGACCTGGGTGAAGGAGAATTTTTTTAATCATCGATACTTAGTATCAGTTTATACTTTATAGTTTATGCTCTGTGCTTTCCGCGCCTTAGCGGGAAAACTTCGGTTCTTGTATTTTAATGCACATATACTTATGAATCGCGGAAAATAGTTCGATAACGCATCTTAACTGATCTAATGCGTTTATTATTCCATCTGTACGTTTTGCTTTTGTCATGAGTTTAGATATTATTCTTGTTGTATGTCCTTTTGTTTTAATTAGGTATATTATGTCAGTGTTGGATAACGACATTAATTCTATCCAGGTATTTTATATAAAACATGAATTTTATAAGCATAGCTATACAATTATTATTTTTTACTCATTACTACCTGATAGTGGGCTCTTGTGCCGAGAAAAAATACTGCGCTCGAGTTACCAGTATTCGCCATTTTAATTTTTTATCTGAAAGACAAAAACATTTTAAAAATCGATCGTAAATAAATTTAATATAAAATGCTCTTTATTTGAATTTTGATAAGTAAATCGTATTAAAATTAGCACGCGACGTAATTTAGATTTATGAACGAATTTAAATACGCAACAAACAAAAGATACAATATACAATTAAAAATTTTCTCGATATAGTTACCGATTATATAAAATAGTAAAAAATATAGAGGGGATATATTTACTTACATATAACACTTAATTTCTACTATATTAATACTGATTGTCGTGAGCAATGCAAAACTAACTATTTTAATACTAAAGCATAAGTATTCCCTTTTTTTATGAACATTATGCATTTTCGACTGCGAGGGTGACATTGTTTCCGCATGCGTATTTAACATTTAAGAGGAAATGGTTGCCTTATCCAAATAATCAATTTTTATAACTGTTACACGATAGATAAATAATTTATTTTAAATAAGAATAGAGGTAATCATTACACTGAACTCTACATAATATAGAGCTCTAGATGCTATTTACATAATATAGCCTTTTGGTGTGAATAGACACAAAGAATAGTCGATATAGTTTGTAAATAAACTCGACCTATATATAAAATGACTCTGAGGAGGATTTTTATATGCTTAAATATTCGCTAGCGAATAATATTTAATTTTATTAACCAATACGTGCGTCTGCGCATATTTGATCCTATAACTTTTATACAGTTTATACCTATGAAACGCTCGGCATTTATTTCAACCTATCCGTCATCCATCCTATGTATAGAATTTTCAATTCACGGCCGAGTGTGAGTCTGTGGCACGAACGATATTCTAGACAGAATACGTCATTCTAATATGATCGGCGAATATCCAATCGCATTGCGCATGCTACATCGCGATATTAAAGTTTTCTAACCCACTAAAGGTATATACAATAACCTTTTTATTTAAGACGGGGAGTCCCTTGCTACTCGGGAAACCGGTCGTGGCGGTGGGCCGTTCAATCCTCCGCCATCTGAATATGTCGTTAAGTCGTCATGTATGGGTATTAATATGGAAATGATTTAAACAAACAATTCTTAAAGTCGCAATATTGAGATCCTTCTCACAGACACCGAAGTAGCTGCTTCGACTCTCTTTTTGTCGTGGATAATTAAATTGATTATAATTTTCAATGTCTGTCTTATTAGACATAAACAACTAATATTTAATTATTTAAAAATTGCTAATATATACTTCATTAAAACACGATTTTTTTTAACTACATCATGTCGTTATTTAAACCTAAAAGTATTTTATTTTAATGTGTACTAACGCGTAAACTACAGGTAAGTAATTTACAGGTAATATCTACTTAATTAATTAAAGTAAATTTTAACGTACTTATTAACAGTTACTACTTACTACTAAAAATCTAAATTTCTTATTAGCATAGTATTTCAATATTCTGGCTGTTTCGCATTTACATATATTTTCTTGTTAGTCTAAATACAATGAGTTAACGGGCACCTTGATCTAAACTCCAATGGCAGCAATGTATGAAAAGGCCGCGGAGTTTAATCGGGTTTCCGAATATCCAAATCAAAAATAGATCAACAGAGCATCTTGTTTCGATGTTATGTCTAGGGAATTTTGAAACAAATTTTACCGTTAGATTTTACTGTAACTTTAACTTACTTATATATCGATTTCTGTCAAAAACAAGAAGTTTACGCTCGACATCGAACATTTACGAATTACGAATATCAACTACAAGTATTACTTTTTATATAACTTAAGTATATAAAAAAGACGAAATACACAACCAGATGTAGAAATATCCTATTAATTCAATATTTATACATATTTGTAAATATTGAATGCTTGCCAAGAACGATTTTTAGACATAAATGACGGGCCATTAGTAATTAACTTAATAGTATTTTTTTAATACGATAGGTGTATGATTAAAATTAAACATTGAAATTGATTGACTGTATCCCAATAGTAATTTAATTATTATACTTTGCACTTTAGCCGGTAGATATCAATTACATAATATGTAGAAAAGAGAATGTAAGCACCTTTTAGAATTAAAAAGTATCAAGTGAGAAAATACCCACTAAGTTTTACTTGCTTCATTATTGTCGTATTTTCATTCCTATATTTGATAGGTACTTCTATTGTTACGTATGCATGTATAATTTCTAAAAATGTGCATAATATAACAAAATTGAAAAATAACTATTTCCTTAGCTTGACATGAAATTTGAATTAACATATTTCTTATTATCAGACATACATATTCTTATTATATAGACTGTATCAATTTTATAATAAAAAAATACTTCGAAAACACCACAGACTTATTAATTTACTTTTGTCTTTACTTCGAAAGATTATTTTCGTGTTTTTATCTATGGTTTGGTATAGTCTGTGGTTCCAAGTTTTCTGAAATCATTAATTATAAAATGGCGATCTTTTTTCAATCTTTAATGAAAAGTTGAGAGTAAATAAAGTTCATGTTAGCTGCTCAGCACATTCAATTACAAGTAAAAAAATGCAATAACAAGGATTTATTCATGTCATTTATTGTTGCCATAAAGGTATATAATTGATTTGTTGCAATATTAATAAAAGACTTAAAAATAAAGTAGAAACACCAACAGCTTTGTGTGATACAAAAGTGTTGCAAGAAATTATAAAAATTGTCAAAATCATAAATTGTTACGATCTAAATGTTTTGTTTATGTTGTGATTCATGGCAAAATTCTCGAAATATATAATGAATTCATGGTTTCCTGAAGCCCTTTCTATTTGGCCGACGTGACGCCATATCTGTGTTTTATGTGCGTATACTAAAACAACAAGAAAACATAATTTTCTTTGTGCATAAGTAAATATACTGTAATTTGGCGCTTCTTCTTTTGCTGTACCTGCTAATTCCATAAAAACATCATCTTTATAGGTCTACTACAATTTATCGAAGATAACTTGAAATATGCAATTCTACATTTCTCAGTTCTGTTTCGTGGTTTTGATATTAAAAACAATGTTGTAGGTATAATATAAATATCTCATTATGTCGGAAGAAGACCAAGGTTCCACCTCACAAGGCGCACCAGTTGTTGCAGAGTTTAAAGATGGTGAGTATATATTGCCTATAATCAATTAAATTTAAGGAGTTGGTGTGACAATCCTGTTCTACTGAATGAAATAAATAACAAATTTTGGCCTATGTTACCCTTCTAATGCCATCTAATGAGAGAATGGCTTCTATTTTCTGATACTGACACTGATTAATGCATGACATTAAAATTTCTCTTATTTCAATATAAAAAATTAAGTAGCATTATTGTTATCTCTTGATTTTACTTACCCCACCTATTGAGTCAGGTCTTTGGATCCCTTAATTTTGTACTAGTATTGTACAAAACCAAGAGGTCCAAAGAATATTATATGATCCGATTATCTCTGTGACCATAACAAATTGTGTTGCATAATTTCAGGACAATTGGAAATTGTGGAAATAGAATATGAAAATAATGATCAGGTAAATAATGTCTGTTTTTTCATTTAAATAGATTTTACATGTCATTGTTTCAAAGTAATCTATAAATAAAAATATTTTTAGTAATGATTTAACATACTGTTTCATTTCATCCGTTTTTTTAGTCAGATTTAATAATTAAATATAAATAATATAACCTAATTTAATTTCTCCTTTTTCATAAAAATGAAAAATATTTCAACAAAATCTAATACAGATAAATTTAAAGAATTTAGGATATTGTATTAATATGTTATATTATCGTCTTTTTTTACACAACAATGCTTATTAATTTTAGGAGTCTGAAGGAATAACATATGAAGGGGCTAGTAATGAGTTCAAAATGTGCCAGCCCCTCTCGTGCATGCAAGTTGTGGACACCACAGGCAAAAGCGGAGTTCTAGATTTACTCAATATGACTCTTATAAAGTATGTACCTTTCTTATTTTGACCAGTTTTCTGAAATTAGCCTTAATGCAGTCATATTTCTGTGTCTATATGCTAGTTGATATACCAGCAAGCTGTGGAAAAGATTCTTGGATTTGAACCTAGGACCTAGTGAATATTGCAATGCAATAGTTGTTGATCCATAAGGCACTACAGTTTATCAATAATTTTCATTTAATGTTTAAGTTCCTTTCAGTAAATATTCATTCAGTATCAGGTAGTAGGTTGAGTACTTCTTTGATTGTATGGCTGTTCTACTATTGAAAAGCAATATATATTTTAAATACTTAGCAGTTAAATAAGTATAACCATTTTAGTATAATAGCAGACATGGTTATAAAATAATATGTTTATTCTAAATTTGATATGTGTTAAAATTGCTTTCAGATGCTACAATGAAGAAGGGGAGACATACCGCTTAGTATCAAATAATACAGAATGTACCGACTCTGAAACTGTCACCTGTATATTATCTAGTGCAGAGGGAGATGGTAAGTTCTTAACTCCCTCCCAAAAAGGACGAATATATTATTAAGATAGTCTTTACCTAATATCACTTTGGACATATATAGCTCTATAAGATGAACAACAACTTTATTATCTATGGAAGGGGTGTCAAGTCCCGCCCAAGTCATTTTCATTCTAAAATAATATTTTAAATGTATATAAGATTTTAAAGACTGCTGTGGTTCTTGTTGCTCTGCAGAGTATTTTATCTTAGAAGTATTAAGGTCAAAACTTGTGTATATACACTTGCACATACCAAAGTCCCTACAGCGTAGAGGTTAAACTGCTTGTATCACATTAGTCCATTTCATGGTGTGGGGGAAACGGGATGCTACATTTTAAAGATTAATTAATGTAATATAATTTTTTCAGAACAAATAGAACAACAGTATATGGTAGTAACAGAAGATAACAGTGAATATTTGCAATCAAACTATACTGAGAGCCAACCGGAACCGTCTAAAGAGGAAAGTTCTACAGTAAGTGCTGATCACATAAAATATGTAACTGTAAAATGTAAATAACGATAGGATTCAGCCGTTCAGTGTCCACTGCTGGACAGAGGCCTCCCCTAGATACAGAGGTAGGCATTACATGGGCGTTCGACATTATTTTTGTCTTGTCCATGTTCATACTCAGTCCCACCTGCTTTGAGACACTGTTGAGGTCTTCGAGCATTGTGTTTAGATCCTCCAAAGACTGTGCCATGATCACAATATCGTCGGCAAAACGCAGATGGGTGAGGTACTCACCGTTAATGTTGATGCCCAGTCCTTTCCATTCTAGGAGCTTGAAAGCGTCTTCGAAACTGTAAAATGTAAATAATAATTAAAATGTAGGACATTATAAACGACTGTTCCTGATAAAGTCTCCATAGATAAAAATAATTAATATACATACTATTGGTGTGTTTATCACCAATAGGTTTTTATGGTTGTCAATCTTAACTTGACATTGACTAAATAGATAGCGAAATTGACAATACATATAAATAATAATCATGTGGATTATTTATGACAGCTGTCAATTTGATTGAAATGGAAATAAACTTTCTTTATTGCGTTAATAAATGGTACGAAATTCGGAATGTCTAATTTATCTGTTCCCATTTTCTGTATGTGGGACACAGTTTTGTATCTGTTTCGTTGAACTATTTTATTCACAGGCCTGATGTTAGACTTTCGAGTGATTACTGTTTACCCGGATTTCAAACTCCAGACAACTCCTGTTTAACATTATGCATTTCATTATTAAACTAGGGGTAGTATACCCAATATATAGTAATATGTATACATTCATTTCAGAGTCAACACCCAAGTCCACAGTGGGTTTTAGAAAAGGCAAAAGCTCTGCAACAGTCGGAGTAAGTATATTTTGTAATAAACTAAGAAATAGAAATGATTATGGACGGATATTTTCTAAGATAGAGAAAGACGGACAAGAGAAAACATATCTGGATTTCTTATTTTTGATACCAAAGTCGAAATATACACTACATTATTGTTTTTATTTCTAGACTGTGATTCCTGTCATTATTTATTTACTTAGACATATACTGTCGCACACATTTTTTTTTTGATAATTGAAAAAATAATCATTCTCTCATACATATTTTATGATATGAGGTATGAATGAGTAATTTTCTTCATTTTTACCGCGTTTTCCGCAGTTTCTTCGCTTCTACCAACCAACGAAAAAATGTTATTTCAATTCGAATCAGTAGTTCCTGAGATTAGCGCGTTTAAACAAACATACAAACTCTTTAGCTTTATATATTAGTCTATACTAATACAATATATATACAATAACTAATATCCTAACAATAATTGAATGAGAAATAATAAAAAGTTAGATCTACTTTTAACGGTTTAAGACTCGATATATAATTAAAGTAATCTCCAAATAAGTTTAGCTAATATATCGCGTTTTAAACCGTTAAAGTGTTCTATTTAAACAGTTAATCATTGTAAAATGCATTTTTGACCAGAAGCCTCTTGGCATGTTTACAACGGAGGGGTCGCAAAGGACGGCGGCGCAAAGGCGAACTGCCTCCTCCACACGAGCTGCTTACGTCTCCTACATTCAAACTCTACATTTATTCCTGCAAAATGTGCACTTACAAGTGTAACTCAATTAAAGAACTGCAAGCGCATAAAGTAAGTAACATTTATTTATATAGGTTTTAAAAACTCAGGGATAAGAACGGCCAGCATGTTTGGAATCATTTAAATAAAACAAAACGTGCCTTGATCACAGCTGCTGCAAAGCGTTCGAAAGGTTGGGCCGTAGTTAAGGTAATTTCCGAATGACCGATGATTGTGAACATAATTTTTAAACAAATTTTAGTACAAAATCATTTCCGCCTAAGTTAATTGCGCATTTTTATTTTCCTCCTTATTCAGAATCATGTTTTTTGTTATTAGGCCACTCTGCCTCTAGCAGCCTCATATTATAATTATGAATTAAAATAATTACTATTCTGATATTATATTAATTAAAAAGTTGACATGGTTGCTGAATATAATAAAATATAAATAACAAATCACGGAACGCTTTGAATACCGGTTCGAGTCCCGCCCGTGTCATCAAATTTCTTTTAAACTAAATATATCTTTTAAAAATATTTGTTATATAATACAACATTTCCTTTTATTGCAGGCTGCTGAACACAGCAGCGGAAACAAGGAACGCAGCGGACGTAACTCTAGTATCGCATTACAATGTCCAAAATGCCCCTTCCGGGGACATACTCACGCGCAGGTATTTTTAGGTTCCAAATTTAAAAAAAAATGTAATAATTAATGGATTATGATAGTTGTCACATACTAATGCAGAAAGAGATATTGGCTAATAGCTACCTTGGTACTGAGTCCCTTACCCAATTATGGATCACGAGGGTCAGAGTTCGAATCAGGGATGAGGGATAAGTTAATTGAAAAGTTGATTGAAAGTTTTCTAATAAAATCATTCAGGTTTATGATAGAGACATACAAGCAATTCACTTGATGGTAGGTGAAATACCTGGGGCTTATGACGTCTAAACAAGATGCGCTGTCGGCCTATTTTGTATTTTGGAGTACCCCTAACATTTAGGGGGATGAAAAATAGATGTTAGATTCTCATAGATACCGGATAAGCACAAAAAATTTCATCGAAATCGATCAAGCCGTTTCGGAGGAGTAGGGCAACGAGAACTGTGACACGAGAATTTTGTATATTAAATTTCGTTTTTGCAGCTGACAAAACACATGCAAGACAACCATACAAAGCGAAAATTAAAGCAGCAAGACAACATTATATTCAGCGAAGCGATAAACCTAGACAGTGACGAAGTGAACGCGGCGGACGTCCTCGTTTGCGGCGCTTGCGGGTTCGAGTCCCCGTCGAAAGACGAATTCAGGAAACACATAGAAGAAGAGCATGGGGCGACGGCTTGTTAGGATATATGTAGTTATTAAGACGAATGTATTATGCCTTTTATTAAAATGTGATCGATTTAGCTGTTTTATTTATTATTGAATACGAAATTACACAAAATACAGTAGTGAACTAACCTTAAAAATAGGTTATAATATGAAGCTGCTAGAGCTAGAGTGGCCTAATAACAAAAAAAAGATTTTCAATAAGCGTGTTTTGTGTTTCGTTAATTGTATAAGAATGTTACCAATTTCCGGTCGCTGTGCTCTTGTAGATTAACATTTTTAGACTATAAAAATATTAGTTATAAAATTGCAGTTAGACCACACTGGCTCTACCGCCATCGTAAGTAAGCTAACGTAATAATTTTATACTGCCACGTCGAATTGTAGCTTTGAATAATTTTACGCGGCCAAAGCGTTTAAAAAGTACAATCATAAAACATTTGTGATAATAAGGTTGTAATGACAAAAATATAAATAACTTAAATATAACCACGTATCATCTATATTAAAAAAGCTGAAGAGTTTGTTTACTCGGTTAGAACATTTATCGAGGGAGGCTTCGTGCTATAAAACATCACGCTGCAATCAATAGCAGCGCAAAACAGTGCGAAAATGGGGAAAATTATTCATTTTGAGGATTTCCGTGCGTGCGCTGCGATAATGTTTCCAGTTACCCAAAAAAGTATGTATGAAAGAATGATTCCTCTTTAAATGATCTAAAAAAGGTCCTCTACGATATATGTCTGTCTTTTAATATTAACTTGCAAGAATGAAGGGACGCGACCGAGATCGTGGGTAACAGCATAGGTTTATAAAGATGAAGGGAAAAACGAATTTGGATGCCTAAAATAACGCTTCTCGCGGACGAAGTCGCTGACACAGCTATATAGGTAATATGTATAAAAAAAATATCATTATTAGTACACCGTTGTGTAGGTACTAAACTAATGTTTTTTTTTTACAATCAAAGAAATTCGCCGCGAGTATTATATATCCAGTTATTTGAAAGTACGACTAACAAGGTTTTTGAGGAGAGATCCATTAATTATCCCTAGTAATAGGATGAAAACGAGCACCAGCATCAATTTTCAATCCATCGCCCAATTAAAATCATAACAAATTCATTTTTCAATTAAAATTCAAATCTAATTACTTGTATTAAGGTCGTATTTACTATAGCAATTATGGCAAGTAATGAATCAAAATTCTAATAATGTGGAATTTACAAACAAACTGCGCGCGCAACTAAGGACAACATGGCCGCGAACAATAGTGTTGTATTACTTTAGGTGGTATTGTATGGAGTAATCGATTTTAGATTTTGACGATTTAGTGACAAAAAAAATGTTTTAATAAAATAATGTTTAAAAATTTATAGATATAAGTAATTTAGCGAAAAGTATAATCGATTTGTCAACATAGTATGCAATATTTAAATCGAATAAGCCCTTTACTCGATTGTTGAAATTTAAATCGATATTTCCGAGTTCTTCAGAATGTTTCAGTTCTATTCAGGATGTCGGAGTGAATACATTTTCGCTGCTACTTTTTACATAAATATTTTCTTAATCACTATTGTATACAATATTCCACAAGGATTCTATTTTTATGGATGAAATATTAAATTACTACCTTTATATTCAAGTTTGTTAGCAAATTGCGAGTAACTATTGTATGAATATTTCGGGAGATCGACTTAAATCTAATACGCACTGAAGGATTTTGGTGAATTCTAACATGTAAGCTAATATATTATATACTCAAGTTGCACTAATTTGAAATTATTTTTTATGTTTGTTGTCCATCTTTTAGTGCATGAAATATGATTGTTTTACGTTAAACCTTTTATTCAAACTTAAAGTAAAAAAAATAATAATAAGTAATTTAAAGGTATTCTGTTAATACACAGGTATTTCCTGTTACACCGCATTGTAATTGTTTTATTTAATGTTTTTATATAGTATGGCTCCAGTGAAATTCGGATTATTTAAAGCCCGAAGTCGAGATCAGCAAGATCAACCCTCAACTGAGAATCTCCTTAAATCCAGTCATAGCATCGACCAAGGTAAGCTTTTGCACCCAATATTGTTATTAATATAATTTTTTTCTTCATGGCATACTACAAAATTATAAGTATTTTAGTAAGTCCTCACGCAAACTCGTTTGCACGCAAAGTAGACCGCCTCTATAGCTAAATAGTTAAACGTGTTGCTTAGTATAGCTCGAGAGGTCCTAGGTTCGAATCCCAGGAACATATAGATTGTTGTTCATGTTCAAATCTGTTCAGTGAAACGAAGACAATTCTGCGTTCTATTCATACTTACTATATTTTGGTTAGATTTTGGCGTATTTAAAAAGTGCATTTTTTTTATTTTAGCTGGTGCGCCCAGTTCTCCAATCCCGTCAACTAGCAAAGGACTAGTTGAAGATCTATCACCACTTGATTTCGCTATTCTTAATCTAGACGATGATGATGATGAAGTAAGTTTGTAAAAGTCTTCAAGAATCTCAATTAAACATAGATTTTAGATTAAAAATCTTTAAGACCCAGACAGGACTTGAACCGAAATCCACATATTTGTGCTGTTGCTCAAATCAATTACGCTAGTTACGCTACATAACGTTTAATTTTTCAACCTATTGATACATGCAATTTGTGATCTCACTTATTCGTTTGTTTGAAAACTCCAATTTTATATTTTTTTTCTCTTAAAGGACATATCAGAAGGAAATGTATCAAGACGAGGCAGCGAATGCAGTAAAGTAGAAGATGCAAATGTAAGTACTTAATATTATATCTTAATTTAGTAATTGTTACATTGAATATAATTATTAACCAGCTCTGTCGAACTTTGGATATTCTGAAATTCACAGATTGAAACCGAAACGCGATTACTCTTGACGGCTTTTTTTGTGGACGGTAGTAGTGATTCGGATACCACCCATTTCATTCCAGAGTCTCAGTAAAAAATTTAAATTGTTAAAAAAAATGTTGTACTCGGTGGGGATCTTACTTACGACCCGTTGATTGTTAGCCATACATTACACCTACTATCCCGGCAATAAATAATGTTGCTATATATAAAAACTGTAATTTAACCTTTCAGGTAAACTACCGCCAACTTCAAAACCCATCACTAACATCAACATCTACCCTCGACGATCTAGACCAAATACACATTTACGACGAACCAGCTACTCAAATCGACGCTGCATCAACATCATACGATGCGAATTCATCACAATTCGACGTCGACGCATCTCAGTTCGACGTGAATTCTTCAGAGTTCGACGTCACTTCACAGTACGAAATCAATTCACAATTCGATGCCTCATCGATAGCCCCGAGCGAGGACCTATCGGTGTACTGTGCGATGCTTAAAAAGCCAAAGAAAAGCCGATCTAAGGAACAGCAGTTGAGAGATATAGATATGTGGCAAGCGAGTAACATTGAAGTAATGCAGGTACGTCAAAGTGTCGACCTTTTTTGGCTTTGAATATTCGAAAATGTATAGACATAATACGGAACGCGATTAAACTTCACTGCTTGTTCATCCTGGTCAGTGGTTCGAGACTCGATATTCCTACATTTTTCAGAAACAATATAGACTGGAAAATCAGAAACATGTTTGGAGATCGCACCCACGACCCATTGAGCAATGGCTAATATTGCTATTTTAGACCAACGAGCACGTCAAACGATGAAATCCGAAATATGTTATCCACCTACACCCACTATTAATACAGTGAAACGGTTTTTTAAAGCCACTCGATTAAACGAAACCGACAGTCAAAGTAATCTTAAACATTAGCAAAATTATTTATAAATATTAATACGTTATTCTACGTTAAGGTATTAAACTGTTAGTGTTAGTATAATTATTGTCTGTGGTTTATGCACTATAACAATTTTAAAGGTTTAAAACGCGAAGTGTATTATTTAGTTGACTTATGTACAATTTATTTTAACTACGACCCGACCGTTCGGATACTTTGCAGCCGCGGTCCCGGGGGTTTATGATAGAGGATGTTCCTAATTTAAAAGTCAAATCTGCTACGCTAGGGCCATCTGTTGCGTCGTAGTTAGGAAATGTGTTTAGTCGAATAGGATCTAAAGGCTGATAAATTACAACTTGCTCTATCTCTATTCTCTACTTGGCGCCGAGTTATCATCAAATTATTTTGTATTACTGTTCAATTCCATTTTTTATTACGTAGTAAGCAGTTAACTTGCGTGTAAAACCATTTTATTACTAATTTTTTTTTTACAGAATTTGTTAAATCGCAGTGGGACACTGGACGAGCAAATAAAATGGGAGGCGATTGCTACATCTCGCGGTCTATGTACTTTAACAGACAGTTGCACGTGCGACGACTGCACGGGGGCGAAGTACCTTGCCGGCGTTACTGACGGAGACGGCGGCTTGGGTACGGCGCCCCTCTTCAACGCCATCAATGTTGGATGTCAGATCCAATGAATTACCTATCACCGGTAATATTGGTTGGAATTATGAAAAGACAAGGGTTTTTTTTCACAAAAAAATGCTTGCAATGCTGTTTCCGATCTTATAAAAACCGTTTTTGGTTTGAAACGCTTTTTTAAATGAAACTAAACCGCGACATATACTTACATCACATATGTCCTATCCATGACTATGTCTAAACTACAACAAATATTATATGTCATCCACTTTTAAGCAAATAAAATGGGAGGCGATTGCTACATCTCGCGGTCTATGTACTTTAACAGACAGTTGCACGTGCGACGACTGCACGGGGGCGAAGTATCTTGCCGGCGTTACTGACGGAGACGGCGGCTTGGGCACGGCGCCCCTCTTCAACGCCATCAATGTTGGATGTCAGATACAATGAATTACCTATCACCGGTAATATTGGTTGGAATTATGAAAAGTCCAGGGGATTTTTTTCACAAAAAAATGCTTGCAATGCTGTTTCCGATCTTATAAAAACCGTTTTTGGTTTGAAACGCTTTTTTAAATGAAACTAAACCGCGACATATACTTACATCACATATGTCCTATCCATGACTATGTCTAAACTACAACAAATATTATATGTCATCCACTTTTAAGCAAATAAAATGGGAGGCGATTGCTACATCTCGCGGTCTATGTACTTTAACAGACAGTTGCACGTGCGACGACTGCACGGGGGCGAAGTATCTTGCCGGCGTTACTGACGGAGACGGCGGCTTGGGCACGGCGCCCCTCTTCAACGCCATCAATGTTGGATGTCAGATACAATGAATTACCTATCACCGGTAATATTGGTTGGAATTATGAAAAGTCCAGGGGATTTTTTTCACAAAAAAATGCTTGCAATGCTGTTTCCGATCTTATAAAAACCGTTTTTGGTTTGAAACGCTTTTTTAAATGAAACTAAACCGCGACATATACTTACATCACATATGTCCTATCCATGACTATGTCTAAACTACAACAAATATTATATGTCATCCACTTTTATTACGAATTATAATGTCTTTGAGGTAAAAGCACCAATATGCAGTAAATCAATGCAAGACTCATCCGAAATATCCTCAAATCATATGTTATTAAGCATATGGCAATAATGGCGGTGGCGATGACTCCCAGCGCCATCTGTACTGCGATGACGAAATCATAAATGTCACTTGGATTTTAGTTACAAAAGGCATTATTTAATAATTACATCTTTTATTTCATAATTTATATTTGTTGTTAAATAGAATTTTGTACAAATCAATATGTTAATGTAAAAAAATTGTTTTACAATGTATTACATAACCAATTTTCCGACTATGAAGTTTGTCTTCCTTAAATACTACTATTGGTGTTCTTACCATAAATATGTTTGAAGACATGCTTTGATTAAGAATTAACACAATGAATTAGCTTTGCTGTACGTTTTTTGCCAAAATAGCGACATATAGAAACGAATATATTTTGTCTACTTACGGTGGCGAGTTTGTAATGAACGAAGTGGCTTATTTTGGGGAGTGTTTATAATATTATATGTGTATATGTAGATGTGTGTTATTTATTTCTCACTTTTATATTGTATCTGTGGACAGTGTATATATTTACGTAATATTTAAATGTGCGTATTGTAATGAAAAATCTTTAATTCTTAAGGAACTTAACTTTAGGACGAAGTTTGGATTAAGACATTTACGTTATTATTTGTATTTAGACCAGCAACTCGGAACGCTGTGGTTGTCGGTTCAAGTCCCGCCCGTGTACATTTTTTATGAATTTAAACAGATTTTTAATTGAAGAACATATAAAAAAATACCTTTATTTAGATCACACTGGACTAATTACAAATTTTTCCAACACTACTGAACTTAATCAAAATTTACACTTTTCTATTGCAATATACCTATTATCGTAGGAAATAAAATATTGTTTATTGGTGTATACAATATGAATAATGCATATATATTTTTAGAGATGTATAATCCTCCGCAGAGTAGGGTTGTGTAGGGTATTATGCGTAGAAGTAAGGAAAATTTTGTATAATTTCTTACTTCCGATTAAATTGTGAATTGATTAAATAACTTAATGTAATGTTTGTTTACTAATATCCATAGATTGAAAAAACAGTAGAAAATTATTTCTTTTTTACGAAAATATCACATACCATCCAGGATCTTTAAAAAGTAGATTTGACCAGAGAATAGTGATAACATGTTAAAGTTTTATTACCCGGTATAAATCTTCACCTTTAGCCCGCGTGATGTTTCGGGTACCTTGGGTTACCAATAATACTAAAGTAGGTAGCCTATAGGTGGCATTTTTTATATTACTAAAACCCTGCACTTTCTTACAATGTCTTTTTAAACATATGGATGTAAAATTAGTGCAATTATGGAATTGGCCTCGAATATAGAAAGACTGTCTATCTTTAGTGGAATAAACGTGGTGTATGGTATTTAAAACGATCCTCTATCTTCCTGTGTCTTTGAGAGAAATATTATACTATAATATAGATATGCATGTACCTACTAAGTAATGAAAATTTCGACCTGTTCATTTGTATTGAGACTTAGAAAATTAAGTGGTTTTTTGTTCAGTTTACACTGAAGATTATACACGATTATAGAATGGACCAAATTTGACAAAACCCTTAGTAAAAAATAAGTCCAATGTAATTCTATTCCTTCATTATTCCAATAATTAGGCATTTTTAATAAAAATAAATTACAATATCGCTTAGTACCTTTTAAATATTTTGTAACGAAATTTTGCTGTCAAATTTTGATAAAATGTCAAATGTGGTCTATTCAACTGGTCTTTAAGTCGAGAAATGCACTTCAAATATAAAAAAAATAAGTATTAGAAGCGGCTATACAAATCTATTAAAATTATAATGTTTTTTTTTCTAAAGCGTATTAGGTACTATCGTAGACTGTTTTTGTATCAAGATGTAAAAGAAAGTACTTAATTAATCTTGTTTTTATTTTTTATTTGACATCGTTATTGATAACGATTATTACTTATTGTTTTTTGTTATATTTGTTTGGCAGTAGGTATATTATTATTACACATACCTACAGGCCTGTTGTACTTTTATAATTGTAGTCATGGCGTAAGACCCTAAATATTTTACCACGTCTTGAATATCTCGGTGTTTTGTACTAAAATTATGTTGTAGGATGTAGTTGTTTTGTGTTGTAATAAAATGGCTGTAAATATAAAACGTTTTCTTGCTATAGAACTGATTGACAGGCTAATCGTAATAGTTTTTATTTCAACTTTCTATTTCTTTTCTATATTAAGTATTGTGGCTTAATAAAAGCCAAAAAAATATTAGTCTCTTTGATTCATAGAAGGTTAATCCTATTTGTATTCTATTTAGCGTTAACACATGAATTTTCGTTTCGTTTTGTGTACCAACATCGATTTGATGATCACGTTTTACGTCTTATTGATATCATCTATTAACAAAGGGAAATCTTACAATATAGGCTATGATAGTTTCACAAAAAATGTTGCTACATTTAACTGAATACTTTATAAAATACTGCGTTGTTGTCAGAACTGTAAAAACATAACATTTTATAAATAGACATCGACCATTTAGTAAAATGCATTAGAATGGTATAACTGTTTTAGATATTAGAAAGTCGATATTAACATCAATCAGAAATTGAATTACATTTTCTATTAGAACAAAGGTTTAAAAATTACGTGACTGTGTGAAATTAATATCGATAGATATGAAGAAAAATATGATTAGGGCGATGTCGATGTATATGCATTTTTTAACTCAATATTGCACTATCAAATACTAAGCAGTACCAATAATTTTTACAATATTTATTTATTCATCAACAATACCGATTTCTTATATCATGAAATTGTAAACTTATAATCGAATGGATTCGCAAACGATTATTTACTTCACATCCCTATTGTCGATTGTCAAAATTGTCATCTTGTAAACCTTCAGTGCTGCTACGATACATTTTTGACAATTGATATTGTGTGTTAGGAGCGGGTTTGAGGTACGGCGGTACGCCGCTGGTAAATAAAGTGATTTTAAATAAATAATACTAAATAATGAGTGGTCCAAATGGTATGTTGTATGGTGGTGATGAGATTGGCGCATTAGTGTTTGATCCTGGACATCATTCGCTGCGTGTTGGTTACGCTCAAGAGGATACTCCAAAAGCTGATATTCCTGCTGTAATTGGCGTTGGACCGGCTACTCACATTCCCGACGCCGAACAAAAGGTGCCTGATGGCAACGTTACACAGAGCGGTAAGCTGAAACAAAAAAATCATTGATATTTACATACATCTGTAATAATGCTATACATAGGTACGATACTTCGACTGTACATATTATAAACAACAGAAAATTTGTTCCGAAATATCAAAACTTCAGTTAAAGAAACGCTACATTGTGTACTTATTAAGAGTTCTTATGACAAAGAACTCGCATATTATTATGACTATTGCTTTTTTTGCCAAAACCTTACAGAAGATTAAATAAATAAACCAAAGCAATTGACTTAGTAACCAAATTGTACAATTTTATAGCAACATTTTAAAAATGATGTATTAATGAATTATTTGAGATGTTTTTATTCTAGTAAAATCTATGGGTATAATTGAGTTTTAAAGCTGTTGTCTTTTAAAGTGTTGCAGTTATATTATTGTAATAATAAGTATAGTAGTTATAACTGTAATAATAGTTATAACCATACTTAGCTTACATTCTTTGATAATTTCTAATTTCTTGTATCTGTAGCTTATTATGATAGTGTTGCAGTTCTAAGCCATATTATCATAGAATAAATAATAGATGAGGCTAAAGTATTCATATTATTTTTAATTTTTCAGGCACAAAAACAGGCAATGAACTCCGTCACTACATAGATGTCACAGAACTACATGTGCCCCGACCTAATATGGAAGTACAGACATACATGAAAGATGGACAAATAGAAAACTGGGATTTATTTGAGAAGATGCTGGATTATTGTTATACTAAGGTAGGGCTTGTCTTGGATTCTGTTTTCAACCGCAGTTTGAAGTGTAGTGAAAATACTACTGCTTGCCATGCCTGATGGGTACCAGCTTTACATATGGTGAAACAAGGCTAAAACTCTCAACTCACTCTCTTAATTCCAGATAGTTAAATTAGTCAGAAATGTCATTAGAATAAAAAAATTACATCTCAATTATAACAAATATCAGTTATTTGTTATAATTGAGTTATAAATTGATTTATTAAACCATATTTTCTAGGTTATACGGTCCCCTTCAGAACATCACCCAGCACTCTTCACAGAAGCAGTGTGGACAACTCGACCAGCAAGGGAGAAACTAGCAGAGCTATTGTTTGAGAAGTACCAAGCTCCCGCCTTCTTTCTTGTCAAGAATGCAGTACTAGCTGCTTTTGCAAACGGGAAGTCTACGGCCTTAGTTGTAGATGCTGGAGCTAGTCAGACTTCTGCAGTGCCAGTTGTTGACGGGTTAGTGATATAATTCTCAAGTAGACTAAATGATGTTTTCTCTATTATTTTATATGAAAAAAGCTTCCACGACTTTATCTTTGTTTCAAATTCTAGTCTGTATTTCCATCATATATTTTTTATTTATTGAATTAAGAATTACAGTTTTGACAATTCTACAAATTTTTATATTTATTTGCAATCACTTGTCACACAGATATATTGAAACGAATTCAATAAAGTACATGATTATATGGTTATTAAAATGCTTAAAAATTACTTTCCAATCATCAATATTACAATTCCAGTTATGCACTAGTAAGTGCAGCCGTCAGGTCACCAGTGGGCGGGGACCATTTGGCTGCTCAAGCTAAGAATATGCTGAACAGCATGCATATACAAATGTTGCCAGTTTACAGTATACAGGTAAGAAATATAACTACTTTTCAGTACTTGGGCTTTCTGGTTGGTGGACCGTTGTGATTGGGACCTTAACGATTGGCCATTACTAGTAGAGTGTATGTTCGTGATATATCTACTAAAATATTACGATTAATGACACTTTGTAGATAGTAGTTACTACTACTAGGAGATAGCAAAAAATAAAAAATAGCATAGAATGTGTAGGCTTTGGAACTTTAGTCTCATCTAGTATTCTTATCATTTTAAGATCAAAACAGGTTTAGTAGTTTTGTAAATTAGTGTGAATAATCAGAAAGACACACTAGCTCACTTGGTAAGAGCTATAGCCTGGAAAGCTGTTGTTGTGGGCTCAAAACCTGTGTCACTAACTATTAATTAACCAGAAATGTCTTATATTAATGTCAATATAATATTTGGATCTCAATTACATGAGCATAATATGTTTTTTGTATATATTTTTTGTCTCTTTCAGAGTAAGGAGGTAATACGAGAAAGAGAGAGGGCCAGGTATACATTAAAAACCCTCCCCGCCGGCCTCACCCCCTCTTGGCAACAGTATATGCTCAAACGCCAGTATGAAGACTTTTGTCATTGTATAGCACAGGTAATATATATTTTATTGACATTGAATTCTATTTATTTAAAAAAAAACACTTTAACGGTTTAAAATGCGAAATATATTACTTATACTTATCTAAAAATGTTTTAACTACGGCCTGTCGTTTCGCGTATTAAACCGTCAGTTTTTTTAATTGAATGTGTACTACTCGCGTAAGCTACAGACAGTATTTTGCAGGTCTCTGAAACGGCATACGACGAAAGAACAGCAGCGGTCGTTCCAGGTGTACACTACGAGTTCCCCGGTGGATACCACCAGGACTTCGGTCCTGAACGCTTTAAGCTCACAGAGTGCTTATTCGAACAATCACTGGGTGCACCACATTTAGGTAAGAAGATAGTAACTAAAATTGTGTATTGGGCAGGTTTGGCAAACATTACAAAGTTTGTCAAAATTGGTTGAGCTGTTTTTTTTTTAATACCAGATACTTGTAATGGGTTATTTGACTGATTTTTAAAATTTACTTTATATTATTTGATAGATGGTAAGGAACCCTAGAACAGCAGTATTTTTTAATTCTAATACATGTTATATTTCATATCAAATTAAAAATCCAAGATTTATATTGCGCGCCTAACACTAATTTTGCGAAATAGCGCAGCAGTACGGCTAGTGACGTCACGACCTTATATTGACCATTGGTGTATGTTGATCATATGATGAAAAATCTATATGCATTTGTATTTGTGCCAAACTATAAAAATGAGTCACAAATTTATTTGTTTATTAACGCAGAAAGTAACACAGGTTTAACACTACGAAGCTAGGTTCAAAGCACTGTTTGTAAGCGAGTGACGTCCTCATAAATCCGACCAATCAGAAGCGTTTTGTGTCACGTGACACATGTTTAAAATGTTAATTTTTATTTGCGGTTTGTTATTTAATGCAATGATTACTTTTGACATATGCGACTGTTTTGCTATTTCTACACTTAAACTGATAACAGTAATTGACACTACATTTTTTATTAATTGCTAAAGTTTTAAATATTGCTTTACAGTATGCGCGGCCGCGTCAGCTTGTGATGCAGACGCAAGACCCGCGCTCTGGGGCTCCGTAGTCGCTTGCGGGGGCGTAGCCGCTCTAGGTGGCTGGTTGGAGCGCCTCGCTAAAGAGTTGGCCTCACGAGCACCCTCCTCGCACAGGTTAAAGACGCATGCAGCGCCATCGCCCGCAGAACGGCGTTTTGCAGCTTGGATTGGTGAGACAACTACTACTTTCTTTAGTGTATTTTTTCTTACTTGGCATTTTTGGTAAATTTACATGATATTGTCATTTTCTCACAAGGTTTACATTGATTCACACAAAACATTTTGATACACTAAATTAGATATTATACTAATTAACTACCTCAAATGCACTTAGTAAAAACCACAATTTTATGTTAAAATTAATAAAAATACTCAAGTGGACAGATTAAAATTTCTTTAGTTTAACATTTGCGTTAGGATAGGATTTAAGCAAAATCAACCACAATCGAAGGTAGAAGCCGCACCTATGCACGATCGCTGAAAAAGATTCCACGTCGAGTTAAATAATAATGACATAAAAAATATATCAAAAAGGTCGTCATAAAAGTGACTTTGAATATTGAGGTCGTTTGGTCTATAAATAATGGATGTTTCTTTAACTCTGTGTAATCTGTGGCATCAATTACAATCTATAAAAGGACATCACCAGTTTGCTATGGTTTGCAATCGACCATATTTGTTGTGGTCTTTTGCCAAGTTAGAAAAAATACACGATAATTGACATATTGCACATTTAACATAATACAAAGTTAATACATAAAGGATTAGAATAGAAGATATTATAACTAGTACATATACTACTAAGATACTACTCTCTTTATATAGATAAATAAACAGTATACATCTGTAAAAATATTTACAAATCTAATCATACCATTGTTCATTCAGGTGGTTCAATATTGGCGTCCATCGGTTCCTTCCAACAGATGTGGATTTCCTCCCAGGAGTACGACGAAGGTGGCAAAGGACAGTTGGAAAGAAAATGTCCCTAAAGTGTTTAGTTTTAAGTTTTAATATTGGTATGAATTAAATTGAATTTTATGTGTGTCTGTTTTTATTTTGAATGTGTGTTTTATGCCTTCGATAAATAAATTACAATTCTATTATATCAAGTATATAAAAAAAACACGAAAAGTAGTATATAAAAAAAAAGAATTGGTGGTCATGTTTGTCTGTCTATCATAAAAATACTCTCATGGTTGTATCGTAAGACCGCCTCTGTAGCCAAATGGTTATTGCCTAGCATTGCGTTAAGCGCGAGAGGTCCTGGGTTCGAATGCCAGGGAACAAATATTGTTTCGCCGGGCAGCGCACAGAAGTCTGATCAACTACTTGCCTGTAAAAGAACGGATCAGTGAAACGGACAGAAAAATGTGTTCGCCCCATGCCCCACGAGAGGGGAAACGGGGTTCCACTTCAGAATTGGTGGAGCTTGACGGGCTCGTTGGTTATGGTAGCAATTTATGGCTAATCTATTAGACGTGGGTTCGATCCCCACTGGGTACAATAATTTAAATCAATTTATAATATTTCTGAAATATGATGGTATATAGAAATTCTGTCCGGCTAACAAACTTCTATCCACAGATGAGAAAGTCGTGAAGTTAAGCCAAAACGTCTACACCATCACATCTTAAGTATGTGTTATAGATCTAGCGTATTCCACCTTCAATCAAATAATGTGAACCCCGTTCTTTGTCCTGCTGGGTCGAAAAATCTATGAATTGCGGTAGGTAGCTACCGTCGACAGCGATGTCTAGTTAGCTTCAAAACTAAAAAGGTTAATTACTTTGTACAAAGTCCCAATGTTATTGAAGGTCATATTTATATTTTTTTACATATATATTTTCATCTAAACTGTACTACTTATAATAAATTTGTTATAATATAAATGAAAATTTAAAAAATAACGGTATCATTTTACCTAACCAGCCAGTTTATATTCTCCTGTTTAGACACTATTTTTACATGATAGCAATACGACACAGTAGCACAATTGGTTAGAGCCACAGCACGCAACACCATGGATGCCCGTTCTACACCTGCCCGTGTTGTAAACTTTTTTCAACCTAATACGATTTTTATAGTTTTAGTGAAATTTAATAATAATTTCCAATATATAACCTAATGTTAAGTAAAACTTCAAAATCAAGTTTGCATTAACTTTATTCTTTACAACTGATCATCACTACACGAAATGTTAAAAATAATTTTCACCCAGCCTGAAAATTATTCTAACAATGTCACTAACAGATAATAAAATAATTGACTAGATTCGAAGACGGATAGTTTAAATTGACTAGTTTTACTTTAAAAATTTTTAAGCTATCTTAACTAATTTAAATTAATTTCGTATTTATTGAATCGTTAGTATATTTGGCACTAGAAAGTTGTTATTAGAAGAAAAGAGAGACATTTTCGCATTTTCTTTTTGTCTACTTATAACCGAAGTGTTTGAAAAGGGGGTCGTCGTTGACGCCGTGTTCAAAAAAGGGCATTTCCTTGAAAATCACAGATGCGTCTGCTATGTGCATTTGACGTTTGCCGTATCTGAAAGCGAAATAAATAATCTGTGTAGTTAACGCGAGTAGTACACATTTAAATAAAAACTTTATCGGTTTAAAACGCGATATATATTGGTTAAACTTATTTGAAAATCATTTTAAGTACGACTCGAAGTTTCGGATGCTTTGCAGCAGCAAGTTAAGAGGGACTGTCTGTCAGTCGCGTTTTAAATGGATAAAGTGTTTTATTTAAATAGTTAATGCTTTATATTTTACACAGGACGGCACTATATAAATTAAAAATCTGTTTTACATTGAAAAAGAACAACAGCACAGAACGCTGTGGGTGCCGATTCAAGTCGTGATTTTAACTTTGAAAAAATCACGACATGGGTAGGTGTCGTGATTTTTTCAAAGTTAGAATCGATTTTTTATCTATGGTTAAACTTTAACAGTTTTTTTATTTTGTCCCGCCTGGGGCACTGAAATCTGGCGCATCACCGCTCTTAGGTCATGATGCCTTAGCCGATAGATTTTTTTTTCACAAGCACGCACTATAATAATTCTTAAGCAAACATTTATAACTGGTGCTCATATAAAATTCAACAAACCGTCCTCTCCCATGCACTGAGTAATATTCCTGTAACTCCTTGAGATAATTGGAGATCTGTTCTGCGGTGTCAAAGCGCTCAGGACGGCGCGGGCGCGGGTATTGTGCGTCTGCGCATAGCATCATTGAAATCAGGAAAATTGCTACCGGGATACGCATGGCTGCAACAAAAAAGCTATATTCAAATATTACACAATCCACAAACTTAACATAACCGTATTATTTCTTATCAACATAACCTTAATGTTAAATTAACATTATATTAAGAACTAGATTTAAAAAAAACATACCGGTTAATCAATTTTGTAAGGACCCAAAATCGCATATCAACTACGTCGGAACAGATGGCGCTAGCGTAGCAGTTTTTACTTTGACATAAGAGGTAGGTACCCCCATCTTTAGTCTCCCCGTGATCACGACTGCTGCAAAGCGTCCGACAACGCAAGAAACGTCGGGCAGCGAGTATTTTTTATATTTTATTCTCTGCAGCGGTAGTGGTCAAAATAAATGAACAATAGGTTTATAAATTGGGTTGGGGCTTTCATGGGCATCGTTCAGCATATCATAGTTTTTCGGGCTTTTCAGCCGAAGTAAGCGAGAAGAGATTCTCAACTCAACATCTACTGATGATGCCGTCCGCTCGTGATGGCGTAACGTCGAGAACCGCTTCTCGCTCACGTCGGACGAACAGCACGAAAAACAATGATATGCTAATATATTTCGCTTTTTAAACCGCTAAAGTTTTTTTATTATAAATGTGTAATACACCTAACTACAGACGGGTAATACGTACAATCTGATTATATCTAAGCTATTTTTGACATCAAACTGTCGCCGCAATTACAAATTTAATATACGATTACCGACAAACTAGGTTTAGTGTAGATAACTAAATCCCTAAGTAATATATAATTTCATTCATCTATTACATACCGCTAGCATTCTACTTTATCAGTGTAATTTCGACAATATATTAACTAGCCGTGTCCGCGACTTCGTCTGCGTGAAATAGTTATTTTGGGAATCATATTTTTTTTTAAATTATAGCCAGCCAAGACGTCATTCTTTAGTGTTAATTTTGGACATACACTGTCGCGAACAAACCAACAAACAAACTCTTCAGCTTTATAATATTAGTATAAATATTGTTTATTTTTTATGATTGGTAAGCAGATTGACTTAATAGTTGCTTTTGTCTACGGCCCAGACTTCAAACCCTGAAGATAATTAAAGTGTAAGTCATAATTAGAAATGAATTGTTTACTTCTAATAAAATCACACAGATGAGCACAAATCTTTTTTACAGGTAAAAAATATATTTACACACCACTGAAGGTCAGTGAGCCTTATTTTTTATGATAGAGGAACAGATAAGCATGAGGTTTACTTGATAGATGGTATACTCTAGCCATAAATCTCAACTACATAGATGTAGTTTTCGTGTTTAATAATTTGAAATCCACAGTTTTCGAATGCGATTTAACTTCACAGCTTTTTTATCTGTCCCTTTTTTAACGGTGGTTCGTATTCCGGATGGAATTTCGACTACCACCAATAATATCCAGATTTCCAGACAAAGTCAAAAAGATTCAGAAATTTTCTAAATTGACTAGAAACATGTCAGACCTGGTGGGAATCGAATCCACGACCCGTTAATAATCAACATTAGGATTATTGATACTATCAGATCCATGAGCCAATTTGACACTGAACACGAAACAAATTAAATCGAAGTTCAAGATATAAAATCGAAAATTTTCTTTTGAAATTCCCTTATCGTTTTGATAATACCGCCCCTATCAAATCGCATTCAAGTTTTTAACAGCGAGTTATAAAGGTAGCCTTAACTTAATGAAGTTGCTTCGAGTTTCCTTTATGAAGAACTTTTAATTAACTAGCTTTTGCATACGGCTTTATTCTTGCTATGTGGTCTACATTAATCATTACCTTTATAACAAACTTTAGTGTTTAAAGATAAGTTTTTCTAGCAGATCCGTTTCATAGCTCTGTTGTAAATAATTGTAAAGTGAAAAGAATTAAACGTAACTTTTTTTTACAATCTAATTTCTATTAGACATGGACGGGAATTGACCCGGCATCCGCAGCGTTCCGTGCTACTGCTCTAACCAATTGAGCTACCGTGTTTAAACAAAACACTTTAACGGTTTAAAACGCGATATATTAGTTAACGTGGTGACCACGGCTGCTGCAAAGCATCCGAAACGTGGGGCCGTACTTAAAATAATTTTCAAGTAAGTTTAACTAATATACATCGCGTTTTAAACCGTTAAAGTGTTTAATTTAAATGTGTACTCCTCGCGTAAACTATTGACAATATTTAATTTAATATTTGTGTCATAAATAAAACTCATAAAATTGCAGTTAGGCTACTCTGCCTCTACCATCCTTATATGAGAACGAAACTAAGCTCTCTTCAAGCTCACTCAGCCATTAACTAATAACCGTTATAAATAGCTTCACGCTAAATTGATAGTGTTTCAAGAGTTTAACAAACAGGCTTCACTTGACAATTTCATTTAAAATCAAACAGACCGACAGCGCTGTCATTATTTTATGTTTGAACGCACTTGAAAATTATGCGTTTGTTATGCGATGACAATCGATAAATATTGATGTTTAAACATGTGTAAATTATGAACTGTGGCTTTAGAGGTAATAATTCCAAGTTTGATTAAAAATATTGTATTGTACTATACATATATGATATTGTATGTTAGTGATAGGCCCATTGCAGTAGATATTTTTAATTTATAAGTATACTTTTTTTGTTTATTGTGCATTCAAGTGTTAATAAATAAAGTTAAAAACTTCTCTCTAACGACAGTGAAGTACGGACGAACTCTGTGGTGACGTATTGGAGTCCCGACCGAGTAATTAAAATTTTCGGTCGTAGTAGATTTTAATTTAAACGTATCTATAAGAAAATGTCACAGATAAAATATAGTATACATATGGAAATAAATCAAAACGAACAATAAATGAAAGTGTGCATTATAATTTCGCACCATATCACCACCAGTTAATCAATTTTTAAGTATAATATACTTTGAATTTTTACAACAGGGAACATTTTCCGGGAGGCACCACTGAAGCCTTTGTTTTGTTAAAGTCTCTCGCTTACACAGTAATAATAAAACAATTTATTACTCTTTATATTAGTGCAAAGGCGGCCTTTGCTGCTATGGAAATTTCTTCTAGACAATCTTTCCAAAAAGAGAAATAAATTAACAGAGTAAAAATCTTCTAAATTTACAACCATTCCAAATACTAACAAAACAAAAATTCCTAATATACAGTAAATATAATTTATCCTAACAAATATACTAATGTACAATTGTGTCTTTTTACAAACGTTTTGGTTACAAAATAGATGTTCCTAAAACAACGGTGAAGAAATTGTTAAATTATTATTATATGATCGAAAATACAAAATAATGTTTTATTTTTCAACGATAAACGGATGTTCCCCTTCCTATAAATCGTCGAGGGAGAATTACGAACCGTTTACCTTTCGCTAGATAAAAAGTGCCGATATCGATAATTTTTATTCTTTTTTAAATTCTTAAATATAATATGCAGTTTAACAATTTACAACTTAAAGTTGACATAAAACCCAAGATGGAAGTTTATTAAATTGAAGTCTGAACTACGTAAATTAAAATTGTATTTTAAATTGAAAAAAATACGCCACTAGTGGAATAGCATTTATTAATTTAATTCGACAATGACGTTATTCAATTAGTTAGAACAGCACACATTTTTAATTTCCTTTTTTTTACTTTTGTAGTAAAAGTTTACTTATTTCTCTTTTTCACTCAGCTAACAACCGCAAACATTTGATTGAAAATAGTGATTTCAGATCACTTAAAACACTACGAAAATAAAAGGTATTTTTCACGTTTAACTATCGACAAAATGTCATGCTTTTGTGATGTCTTTCGACTTGAGGCTGATATTCTTATTAAAAAAAGTGAATTAGAACTACAGTTTAAGATTTTGTGAAGGGGACAGATTATAAAACATCGATAAAATCCATCAACACGTGCCCAACACTACGCATTTGACGCCCCACAAAGCGTAGGTTGCAGACTATAACCACAGTAACGCATGTAATCAAAATGTATCTTAGAATTGTGCATTTTGCTCCATTGTTGATAGTTCTCCACGCGTTGTACCTACATGTTAGTATTCTTCGTGTTCTATATAAACCGCAATCATTGTTTTTTCAAGTCGAGTAACCTGACCTAAAGTTGCACGAATGGTCTATTTTTACTTAAACAAACTTCAAAAGAAACATGTTTATTTTCTCTTTCTTATATTTCAATCTTTTTTAGGCAGTTGCAGTAAATTCATAACTCCTTTCCATGTTGCATTTAAATTTGACTATTATGTAAATAAGTAATCAATGTATGTTATTTATATACTATTACTAATTGAAAAAAATTTCGTCACAGTTTGAGCCGGCATCCACGGCGTTTTAGACTATTGCTCTAACCAATTGAGCTACTGCTTCCTAGAAGACAATTGAGATAGTAATCAACTAAATTTTTATTAGCATTACCAGACTTTGTTCTAGTGTATATGTTTGTTTATTCATAACATTTACTAAATCGGGTTTAGTAAAATTTGAGAGTAGTTATTCTACGAGCTCAAAATATACAGTAATAAAAACTTGACGCCCGTAACCACGGCTGCAAAGCATTTGCAACGTGGAGCCGTAGTTAAAATAATGGTTAGAGCATTTATAGAGGAAGGTTCTAGGCTATAAAACATCGCGCTGCAACTAATATAAGCAAACAAACAGGGGGAAATGTAGAGAAATCTGTGAAAATTAAAATTTAATATTATACATTTCTCCCCATGTCCACGGCTGCTGCAAAGCATCCGAAACGTCGGACCGAAGTTAAACATCATTTTCAAATAAGTTTAACTAATATATCGCGGTTTAAACCGTTAAAGTGTTTTATTTAAATTATACATTTCTTCAATTCTTTTCTTTATATAGAATTAAGAAAGCTCGTCCTAAGCTGCCCGACGGGACTTGACAAAATTACTGTGGCAAAGTGCGTGTCGTTAAATTTTAATTACACGCGTTAATTAGAGCAATCCTATCTTTAATTGCGTGCTAAATCAATTTA